CCAGAGCATTGCGCCGGCGGCGCGATGAGCTGAGGCTGTGGGGGAGGGGGAACAGCAGGGGAGGGGCCGGGGGCTAGCCTCCCAGGCCAGGAGCTCAGGGGCCGGGCAGGAGGGTCCCGCGGGCCAGATGTGGCCCACGGGCCGTAGTTTGCCCACCTCTGACTTAACACCACTTTGGTAGCGTAAAGTGGTTTTTAAGTCACGTTACCAGCTGCCTGCCAGAACTGGGTAAAGGGGTCTTAGTGCAAATGAGAACGAGGCTCTCTGTGCCTGCGTAACATGGGAATAATAACAATGCTTCCTTTCTCTCACCTGTCGCCTGTCTTGTCTATTGAAATTCTGAGTGCTTCCTGGCACTGATTCGGGATCTGCCTACAAGCAGGACAGTGACACGACTACAACGCAGCGATGCCATAGTCGCTGTGGTAAACCCACCTCCACTAGGGGCAGTAGCTAGGTCAATGGAAGGATTCTATTCTGGGCTTAGGTTGGTTTGTCTACCCTGCTTTTATGTCAGCATAATGTATGTCGCTCAGGGGAGTGAATAAATCACCCCTCTGTGACATAAGTTACACCAACATAAGCGCCGGTGAGAACAGTGCTGTGTCGGCGGGAGAGCGTCTCCGGCTGCATAGCTATTGCTGCTCGCAGGGGCTGTAGTCGTGAAGCCAATGGGACAGCTCCCTGCCATCGGCTTAGAGCGGCTACGTTAGAGAGCTTATAACGGCACAGCGGGTGCTGCTGTAAACTCTCTTGTGTAGCCGTAGCCTCAGGGATGTGATTTTTTTACCCCCCTTGAGCGACATAGCTCGGTCAAGCTACGTTTTAGGTGTAGCCCAGGTCTCAATGTGCATGCAGTGCCTAATGTTACCACTGGACTCTCTACTTGCTACTGTAATATTAATACACATTTTGCCCACTCCTTGCTTGCTGTGGAGTGAAATCTATGCCAAGGGCTTCTGAATTTGATGTGTTCTTCATTATTTGGCTTCTCCCTTGACATATATAAACACTATAACAAATGATCTAGGTCTATACACTCCCGTTAGGGCCATTTTATCAAGAGGGCCAATTTTGCACATGGCCCCATTCGTGGGTGCAAAACCTGCATTAGCATGAGGCATCTGGGCAGTCAAAGCCCTCACTGGTATCATCACCACTGCAGTTCAAACCTTTGTGAAGGAATAACACGCAGTCACTCCTCATTCTAAGTGCTGGGACAATGGTGTATTTGATCTCCCTATCAGCCAGTTCAGCATAGACTCACGTCAGTTTCCTGAAGCATTTGGCTACAGTCTTGCCACCCATTGCCTGACTCAGCTGGCGAGGCTGGGAATCTCATGAGCCAGATCTCTTCACCCCAATGACTTTACTTCCCAGGGCTCCACCTACTTTTACTCCAAATGGTGTCATTCATAGATTCATAGATTCATAGATTCTAGGACTGGAAGGGACCTCGAGAGGTCATCGAGTCCAGTCCCCTGCCCTCATGGCAGGACCAAATACTGTCTAGACCATCCCTGATAGACATTTATCTAACCTACTCTTAAATATCTCCAGAGATGGAGATTCCACAACCTCCCTAGGCAATTCACTCTCAGACTTGTCATTGTTGACTTTGAGGATGTGTAATCCACACACCTCCTGGGTGCGGTGTTCTGTCCCATCTAGTGGCGCTGAGACCACTTAACGAGAGCTAACAGGCAGTTGGCTTTTAGCTCATGCGGTAGAGGCTCATGCCATAGGCACCGACTTCCCCGCTTTCCCCTGGGTGCTCACCCCCTCCCTCTGCCCCCGGCCCCGCCCCCACTCCACCCCTTTCATGCCACCCCGCCCCTGCCCCACCCCTATTCCAACCCCTTCCCAAAGTCCCCGCCCCGCCTCTTCCCCACCTCCTCCCCTGAGCGCACCACATTTCCGCTGCTCCCCCTCCCTCCCAGCACGCCGCCAAACAGCTATGGAAAACTGGGCACTTGTCAACCCTAAAGGGCACCCGGATACAGAAGCCAAAAACCGGACTGTCTGGGTAGAATCTGGATGGGTGGCAACCCTACCGCTTGCAGGAAAGCAAGTAGACCCTCTGGCCCAGTCCTATTCCCTCCAAAAAAGGGAGTTTTGCCTTTGATTTTGGTGTGAGCAGGCTCAGGTTCTAAATGGTCTAAGAGGAACTAAAAAGTCTTCAAAGAGATTGTCACTTCCAAAGATCAGAGGGGTAGCCGTGTTAGTCTGAATCTGTAAAAAGCAACAGAGGGTCCTGTGGCACCTTTGAGACTAACAGAAGTATTGGGAGCATAAGCTTTCGTGGGTAAGAACCTCACTTCTTCAGATGTCTTGCATCTGAAGAAGTGAGGTTCTTA